GGCAGGTATGGGGTGGTCAGCCAATAACAGGCCAGCATAGGGGTAAATATTTGTCATCGTGTTTTTTTTTAAATCACATTGCAAAGCATATTTTCTTTTACTACACTGTGAGGCTCCAAGATACATCTTTAATTGGTTTAATGGAGCCACAAGGCATGACATTTGTCAAGATTTATTGTTTGCCTTGTTCGGGGATGTGGAAATAATATCTGAGCTTAAGTGGTGTTTTTTTCCCTTTTAAAACTAAGTTTTTAGCGCAGGGACTTTCCCTGAGTATTTATGTCAATTGGTGGCTCTTCCCATCTAACCACTTTACTATGCTTGCAACTGTAGTTGTGTGTTGATAATAAAAGTTTGTTACTTTTTTCTAATTAACTGGTATTGGTTGATTGTTGTATCCCAGAAGGTCTGTCTGGGTGTATCTGTATGCCTGATGGAGGGGTCAGCTACCACAGACTGCAGCTTGTTTTTTCTCTTTTCTTTTTTCAAGCTCTTTTGGGGGGGAAAGAGCATGGAGCACCCCTGGGGTTGGTTTCAAGTATCCACTCTGTTGGGGATTCAAAAGTATTTGATGGTGGCAGCGGATTCCCCAAAATCTGTGTCTTAGGATTTTTGGGGGGAAGTTTTTGTACCAGAGCCTGTAGAAGCAAGTTTTAGGGTGCTCTTGTGGGCCCCCACTTCTGCCAGAGAGGGAATAGCCTTGACACCCCAGCTGCAGCCCTCTCTCTATTTCTGACAGTCCTGCTCCTTCCAATGAGTGGAAAAAATCCACCTGTGTGCCATTTACCCCATTAGCTGGATAAAAACACTTGCCACATCCCTTCATATTTCTCCAGATTGCATAGACGAAATCCTATGAGATCATTGGTGTCTATGTGAAAGCATTTGGCAGCCGTTTCATATTTATTTGGCCTGTAATAAATAAATTCAATCTGGACTTTCCTAGACTAGGCTATTTGTTATCTGAGTAAGTAGCTGTGGGTGGATAAGATGTTTCTATTAGAATGGCATTCATTAGCTCTGACTTACCTTCCAGTATGCTGTTTTACGCCCTGTTTGGTTTGTTTTGATTAATTAGGGCCCAGTCCTTTATTCCTTACTAGAAGACTTACCTGGCATTGCCTGAGTCCTTCATGGTGGTATAGGGGGTGCGGGAGTCAGGGCGGGGCCTCGGAGATGTGGGGGTTCAGGGCAGGAGGTCAAGGATATGGGTGGGTATGAGGGTGAAGGTTGGGGTGGGAGGACAGAGGGTGGGGATGGCCACTGGCTTCTCCCCGGAGGTGGCCCAGAGCAGCGGGGGCACTCTCCCTTCTTCCAGCCCCTCCTAGGCTGGCAGGGGCTCTCTCCCTGCCCCCCCGGACCTTCCCATGGCGGATGTCACCTCCCTCACAGCCCCTCCCAGGGGTGGTACTCTCTCCCTCCCCTGACCTTCACCAGGATGGGGGAGCAGTAGGGGCTCTCTCCTTCCCCCACTTCCCGGGCGGCATAGAGAGGGCAGCAGAAGCTGCCTCCCACACAGCGGGCCCCCACTTACCTTTTCTGGTGACAGGCAAAATGGCAGAGCCCTGCCCCTTGGCGGTGCAGCTGGCCCAGTCGTCACTCCGGCTGCATAGCTCTCCCCTGAGGACAGCTTGTGCTCAGTGACCACTCTCCTATCACGTCCCTCTGAACAGCAGCCCCTCCCTTGCATGGTATGGAAACCAGTCCTTTTCCCAGAGCTGCCGGTTGTCCTGGCCTTGCTTTAAGTTAGGAGAAGAGGAAGCTTCTTGTTTATGAATGACCTGGATGACGGGATGAAGGCAGATATGCTAGAGCAAGGATGGACAATAATTTCTGACCAGGGGCACTTCAGAAATTTTGGAAGTGGCCCTGGACCACCCTGGAAAGGGTAGGGCCTCAGACAGAAGGGGACAGGCCATTACGCATCTGTGCTTCCCTACCCACAGACCCTAATTGGGGAAGTGCACAAACAGAACCACCAGCAGTTCTAAACAGCTGGCGGTTCCCTCTAGCTACTCACGCTCCTGGCAGTGGGAGGAGAGTTCGCATGCTCCCCCCCGGGAAGAGGAGCACGTGATGTCTCTTGCTCCTTGCCCCCGCCCTGCAAGGGAGCGCCGCGCTTAGACTCCCTTTGTTGACTTGAAGTGCCGAGCCCCTCGCAGAGTGGAAGGAGACTGCGCACTTCCCCCGCCCCTGCCACCAGGTCAATCAGAGCTTGGGGACGAGGGGAGCACACAAAGTCTCCTCCCGCAATGCCAGGAGCGCGTGGCTCTTCTA